ATCCCTGCTGCCGTTTCTCTCACTGACCCCTCTGGCGGTCCGGTCGTCGCCCGCAGTTCCACCACCCTTCCCTGTCCGGCGGTTCCTTCGGGCTCTCTTACAGGTCTGCATATCCCCTCGTTCTCCAGGAACCTAGTTGGTGTCGGCTGCCTCCAGGACCTTGGCGTCACCACTACGTTCCCTGGTCACGAGCGGTATGCTGTCTGTACCGAGGCCGCCACTGGTGCCACCCTGTCCACGTTCCCCCGGGACCCGGTGTCCGGCCTGTTCACTCTGGACACCGTGACCCCCCCGGCTGGAGCGCTCACCCAGGTTGCTGCTGCCTGCTCTTGTCGGTCTCTCACTCACCCGACCCTCCTTTGGCACCACCGCCTAGGTCACCCTGCGCTCTCGCGTCTGCGTCACATGTCCCAGCATGGTCTTGTCCTTGGTCTCCCAGGTTCTCTCCCTGCGTTTCCCTCCTCCCCAGCCCCACCTTGCACGCCTTGCGTCGAGGGTCGGCTTCGCCGTGCCCCTCACTCCTCCTCGTTTCCCCCTACCGCCGCGCCGCTGCAGACCCTGCACCTGGACGTCTGGGGCCCCGCCCCCGTCCCTGGGCCGCGTCGAGAGCGCTACTTCCTTGTGCTCGTCGACGACTTCACTCGCTACACCACAGTCTTTCCCCTGGAGCGCAAGGCTGACGTGCCTGGCGCTCTCATCCCTTGGCTTGTCTCTGCGCGTGTCCACCGCGGTCTCCCTGTCTTGCGTCTCCACTCCGACCGTGGTGGCGAGTTTGCCTCAGGTGTCCTTGGTCGCTTTTGTCGTGCGGAGGGCATCACCCAGACGTTCACCCTACCGGACTCCCCACAGCAGAATGGGGTCACTGAGCGACGCATCGGTTTGGTCATGGAGGTGGCTCGCACCTCCATGATCCATGCCAGTGCACCCCATCTTCTGTGGCCGTTCGCTGTGCGCTACGCTTCTCACCAGCTTAACTTGTGGCCGCACCCTCAGCAGCCGCAGGTTTCGCCGACCCGTCTGTGGACTGGGTCTCCTGGTGACGCGTCTGCGTTCCACGTCTGGGGCTGCCTTGCTCACGTCCGTGCCTCCGGCATGGACAAGCTCACTGCCCGCACCCTTCCCTGCATCTTCCTCGGTTTTCCCCTTGACGCGTCCGACTGGCACTTTTACCACCCGCTGTCTCACCGCTTCTTTCACTCTCGTGACGTCACCTTTGACGAGTCCGTCTCCTACTACCGTCGCTTCCCCCACCGTGGTCCCCCGGTTACCCCCCCCCTGTTCCTGGTCCCTCCTTCCCCGGTAGTCCCTGCCCCTCCTCCTCCTCCTCCCCGTCCCGCCCCCTCTGGTGTGTCCCACGTCACCCCCCTTCCGTCGGTGGACCCGGTTGAGGAGTCGTCTGACTCTGGTGGCCCTCCTGTGCAGTCCTCGCCAGCCGCCCCTCCCCTGGCGTCCCCTCCCCAGTCCCCTCCTCCACCGCCTCTGCCGCCGCTGCAGCCGTCGTTGCCGCCGCCGCCGCCGTCGCAGCACCCGTTCGCTGACTCTGGGGGTGCTCGTCCCGGTCGCCCTGGGGGTGGTCCCTCTGGGGGTGCTGGTGTGGAGAGTGCCGGGGGTAGCCGAGGAGCAGCTTGCGGTCCCGGTGTCGCCGTTGTGCCGCCGCAGCAGCAGTCCCCGCCGGTGTCAGCCCTTCGCCTGCTCGGCCTGCCGTCCCCCGACCCTCCGTCGGTTCCTCCCCGACCGTCTCCTCCTCTTCCTGTCTACGGCCCTGTTTTCCCTCCGCCGGACTCGTCCCCGGCCCGTCTCCCCCCTCGTTCCCCTCCTGTGTCCCCTCCTCTGTCTCCTGACCCGACTCCTCCGTCGCACGTCTGGTCTCACCGTCCCTCCCGTGCTCGTCCTGCCTCGCCGGTCCTGCGCTCCCACCCTATGTTGCTTCGTTCCCACGCGTCTCGTCCTCCCCTTCTGCCGTCGCCTCCTCCGTCCTCCCTTGTTGTTGCACCCCCCCCGCTGTCTGACTACCTTCGTGCCGCTCGTCCTCTTGTTCCTCGCGTCCTTGCCTCTCTCGTTACCGACCCGTCTGTTCCGGCCTCGTGCCTTGACGCCCTTGTTGCTGCTGTCGCTGACTTCGCCTCTACCCGCCGCCTTGACTACGCCTCCGCTCTGGTCTCTGACCCTGCCTGTCCTCCGTCTGTCGGGGGTGCTCCTGCCCTTGGCAGTGACGTCCTGGAGGACCGCCAGTTCGAGCTTGCTTTCCTCTCTTAGGCTGCTCCCCATCTCTGTTCCATGCTACTAGTCCCTGAGGGTGACCCAGACGCTTTCGACATCCCGACCCCTCGCACTTACGCTGAGGCGACCTCGGGACCCTGGGCCTCGCAGTGGATAGCTGCCATGGAGCAGGAGATGGCATCTTGGAGATCCACCGGCACCTTCGTCGACGCAGTTCCCCCACCTGGGGTGAACGTAGTCGATGGCCGCTGGCTCTTCAAGGTGAAGCGCCCTCCTGGAGAGCCGCCTGTCTTCAAGGCGCGCTATGTGGCTAGAGGCTTCAGTCAGCGCGAGGGGGTGGACTTCTTCCAGACCTTCGCTCCGACCCCGAAGATGACTACTCTTCGGGTTCTGTTACACCTAGCGGCTCAGCGTGACTACAAGCTTCACTCCCTCGACTTCTCCACTGCCTTCCTTCAGGGCAGCCTACACGAGCAAGTCTACCTGCGTCGCCCTCCAGGCTTTACTGGCACCTTCCCTCCTGGTACCCAGTGGCTCCTGCGGCGCCCTGTCTACGGCCTGCGCAAGGCTCCTCGTGAGTGGCACGACACTCTTCGTGCTACCCTTGCTGACCTGCAGTTCTTTCCGTCTTCCGCAGACCCTTCACTCTTCGTTCGTGCTGGCCAGACTCCGTTCTACATCCTTGTTTACGTCGACGACCTGGTCTTTGCCACAGCAGACAGGGACGCACTGGCCTCCGTGAAGGCAGAGCTGCTGAAGAGACACACGTGCACTGACCTTGGAGAACTGCGCCGTTACCTTGGCTTGCAGATCTCCAGGGACAGAGTTGCGCGCACCATCACCCTGACTCAGTCACACTTGGTGCGCCAGGTCCTTCAGAGGTTCAGCCTTCAGTTCTCCTCTGCACAGCCCACCCCTCTGCCTGTAGACCACAGACTCTCCGCTCCAGTGTCTGAGGTGTTGGTAGAGCCCAGCGGCCCCTACGCAGAGCTGGTGGGTTGCCTCATGTACCTGATGACTTGCACTCGCCCAGATCTCGCATACCCTCTCAGCATCCTGGCTCGCTTTGTGGCCACAGGCAGACACCGACCGCAGCACTGGTCTGCCGCCAAGAGGGTTCTGCGTTATCTTGCTAGTACATCGGGCATGGGGTTAGTGCTAGGAGGACGCAGGCCAGTGGTCCTTACTGGACACACAGACGCTTCGTGGGCAGACGACGCTGAGACGCTCAGGTCTACCCAGGGCTACTGCTTCAGCCTTGGCTCAGCTGCCGTCTCGTGGAGAGCTACCCGCTCCTCGTCTGTAGCGCAGTCCAGCTGTGAGGCTGAGATCTACGCTGGTGCCATGGCGGCACAGGAGCTGCTCTGGCTGACCTTCTTGCTCACTGACTTAGGTGAGCGGCCTAGCTCGGCCCCGGTCCTGTTCGCTGACAACAGGGCCATGATCCTCCTGTGTCAGGAGCCTCGACTCGAGGGCAGAGCGAAGCACATTCAGCTGCGGTACTTCCTCCTGCGTGAGCTACAGCAGCGACGTCAGGCTCGCGTAGTACACTTGGTCTCAGGTGCCAACACGGCTGATATCTTTACGAAGGCGCTTGCGCCTAAAGATCATCAGCGGCACTGTGTACAGCTTGGTCTAGTTCCTGTAGCCTCTCACTTGCTAGGGCCTTCACTTTGTACTGTCCTTTATATGTATACTCAGACTGGACTTGTGTCTTCTCGCAGTGGCTGGACTAGTAGTGCCGCCCTGTCCTTGTTCTTGCCTTGTTTGTACTCCTTCAGACTGGTCTCTTAGACCCTTGTCTCAGAGGTTGGACTAGTAGTGCCGCCCTGAGCTGTTTGTTTAGGGCATTCCCCTATGCAGTCTAGGGGGTGTGTCAAACATGTGTATTTGTCATGTTTGTATAGACTGTATAGGGTCGCCTCTTAGAGAGTACAACACTTAGGTATATCTTTGTGTACTCTCATTCTATCATACATTCAATTTTCAATTTGATACTCGCTACACCAAAAACGGAACTTGCAGGAATGCAAAACCTCATATATCACAACACTACCAACGTCGAGCATTGCCAACTCGGAGCCCTCGGACACAGCTCGGAAATGTTTAGAAGGGCATGTTTACGTTGGGTAGTATAATAGAGGTTACTTGATGTACTCTGCAAGTATAGAACATCTAAAAACGTTCGTTAGGGACAACTACTTCACCCATTACACAACTTAGAGGATGTGTAATCCTATTGTCTCCTCTTTTCTATGCTTGCAAACGCGAATAATTTTCATCCCAGTGATCTGCCCACCATGCAGGTCAACTGGGTACTGTCGTAACGCGACTTGGTGTGCAGCACCCAACTCCATGCGCAAATCCACTGTAGACTTGTGCTCGCACAACGCTGATTGATGTGCTCGGGTCGCTGGCTTTGACAATCTTCAGGCAAGCATGGCTGATTGCTCCACCCATAGGATCCAGCCTTGCGAATGAACGAGCGCTTCGCCAGAAAGGGAGTTGGGGGGGGGGGGGTCGTCCTCAGTCACCGACATTTTTGCTGAGTGTTACACTCGAGATTTTCGCAGTCCTGTCGCCTCTGCCACCTCTGAGTGTAACAATTCGCCTCAAGCGAGGTGCGCACTGTCTTCCCCCCCGCCCCAAGACCCATACGCAGCTTATGGGAGAGCTCGACACCTCTGGTCGCCACTATCACCTGTTGGGGCCTTGGGAAGGAAACCAAGTCCCCCAACTGCGAGGCGCTCAAAAGACGCAGTGAGAAGACATAATTCACAACAATCGCCAGCAACCAACAGCCAGCATCTCCCACTAGTTCCATCACACTAAGCCCAGTCCCCTGAGCTCAACTACGTCGCTTCTGACGCGAGTCACGCACTCCCTTACGCAATACCTCATCCCACACTCTCCGTGCAGTCGTAACTCCCTAGGCTTTACAGGTTTCATACGCAGCCATGAGTCAGCGCAACGTTTCCTTTTTGGTGCTCCTGCTGGTGTCTACGTTGGCCGTGTCATCCTTCTCAGCGAGCGCCCATGCGGAATCGTACATGCAAACCCGCGCCAAAGCCGCGCGAAAGTCCGCGGACGACGCGGACGCGCTGGCCCTAGTGGCGCAGGCGGATTACAACGAAAAGCTCAAGGTGGAGGCTGCAGCGAAAAAGGCCGTCGACGACGCGGACGCGGATTTGGCGGCGGCTCAGACGGAGCTCGGGAACAAGAAGAAGCAGCTCGACGACACCAAGGCCAAGGGCGAGAAGGCGCGGCAGGATACGATCGCGTTCAAGCAGGCGGTGCGCGACGAGCAGGAGTACGATGACGAGCTCGAGATGGACGCGTTGGAGGCGGTCAACAACGAGGAGCAGTCCGCTAAGGACATCGTCGACGCGCAGGCGCGCGCGAATCTCACTGGCGACCTCCTCACGGAGCAGAATGTGATCGTTCAGGAGGCGACTGCCGACGCCACGTACTATTCGCGGCAGGCGTCGAAGCTGAAGACGCCCGATGCGCAGGCTCAGGCCCTCGAGGCGCAGTCGATTCGCGCTCAGGCGGTTCGGATTCAGGGAGCGCTTGTGAAGCAGGCGCAGCGCTCCACGGAGCGCGTGGGCAAGATGCAGTTCGAATGGTCTGCGTCGAATAAGGACAAGTCCGACACGAGGGGCAAAGCGGACGAGCACAAGGCGACGCTGAACAAGGCGAAGAAGGACGCGTCCGACGCGGAAGCGCAGTACAACCAGGCCATAACCGAGGCCAAGACCATCGACGCGGCGATTAAGCAGCAGAACGCTGTGGTGATCGCGAAGTCCAAGGCCGCCAAGGACGCGCGGGTCCCGCTTGCCAAGGCTGCTACTATTCGGGCCAATTCCGAGGCGAAGGCTAACGCGCTCAAGTCGCGAGCTGACGGAATGAAGGCTATCGCTGACAAAGCAGAGAAAGACGCCAACGGTAATGGTAATGGTAACAGCCGCTAGCTTAGTGGCTGGATTCGACCAATTCGGCCAAATCACTGGCGGTCACAACGAGGTTCACCATTCATTGATCAGTCCGCGTCCAACCATCTCAAGCAGTTCACTTCGGTTTCCTTCTCGACCAGAGAAATGCCTCGTGGAGCTGCTTTGGCTCTGCGACTCGGGAGTGCGCTATCTTGTCGCATCACTAGCGGCATGTGTGGGCAACCTGCGAAATAAAGGCATCCTGTAATCTTGATTGGTTTTCATGTTTATTTTCCAATCCGAATGAGTTCGCCCATTGTGAGATTTCTAACACTATGAAAGCGCGAAGGGGTTGTCTGTCCTAAGCGCGCCGAGCCCGGGAAAAAAAGGCATTTCCTCCTGGGATCTCCTTAAAGCCAAAACAAAACAAGAGGCGACGAGATCGTCTTCTGGTTGTGGAGCATTCGACGAGGTGACTTTATTATACATAAATGTTTGATTTTCATACCAAATAATCACTCCGTTTGTTGGATAGAAGCCGTCATTTTCCATGTCACAAACAAACAGGTTGATTATTATTTCCATATCACAAGAGCAAATGATCGTGCTTCACATATTTATTTGAAAATTGAGGCAATATGTAAAAAATGAGCTAGGATAAGACTGTCAAACATATGTATAACTCATATTTGTTTAGACTGTATAGGGTCACCTCTTAGAGGGTACAACACTCTTAGGTATATACCCTTGTTCTCTTTCTCTATTCAACACTTGTTCAGTTTTCTTCTCAACATGGTATCACCCGTAGGTTCGATCCCCCCCCCCCCCCCCCCCCCCCCCCCCCCCCCCCACCTACCGCTTCCGCCCGTGCATCCTAGGCCCCATCGCGCCGCCCCCACCTAGGCCCCGTCGCGCCCCTCCTGGGCCCCTATCGCGCCTCCTAGCCCGTCACGCCCCTCCTGGGCCCCTCTCGCGCCTCCTAGCCCGTCACGCCCCTCCTAGGCCCCTGCCACGCCTCCTAGGCCCTGTCGCGCCCCTCCTGGGCCCCCCGTCGCGCCTCCTAACCTGTCGCGCCCCTCCTGGGCCCCTGTCGTGCCCCCTAGCCCGTCGCGCCCCTCCTGGGCCCTTGCCACGCCTCCTAGCCCGTCGTGCCCCTCCTGGGTCCCTGCCGCGCCTCCTAGCCCGTCGCGCCACTCCTGGGCCCCAACCGCGCCTCCTCGCCCATCGTGCCCCTCCTGGGCCCCTCGTGCCTCCTAGGCCCCGTCACACCTCTCCTGGGCCCCGTGTGCCTCCTAGCCCGTCGCGCCCCTCCTGGGCCCCTGTAGCGCTTCCTAGCTCGTCGCGCCCCTCCTGGGCCCCTGTCGCGCCTCCTAGCCCGTCGCGCCCCTCCTGGGCCCCTCGTGCCTCCTAGCACCCGCCGCGCCTGCATGGCCCCACCGCACTACCTGGCCCCGTCGCGCCTGCCTGGCCCCGCCGCCCCTGCCTGGCCCCGCCGCGCCTGCCTGGCCCCGTCGCGCCTGCCTGGCCCCGCTGCGCCTGCCTGGCCCCGCCGCGCCTGCCTGGCCCCGCCGCGCCTGCCTAGCCCCGCCAGCACCTGCCTGGCCCCACCGCACCTGCCTGGCCCCTTCACCCCGGCTCGTCCTGCCGTGCCGCTGCGGGCTCCGTCTCCTCTGCTCGCCCGTGCTGAGGCGCTTCGCGGCCGCCGCGCTGGAGGGGGCTGTCGCTGTGTTCCTGCGTCGCTGTGTTCCTGTGGAGCTGTGCCGCTGACCCTGCACGATGGCGGACTTCGTGCTCCGACTGGACGCCGAGGGCCATGCGGTTGATTTCGCCGCCTGGCTCTCCGATCTCCGCCGCCACCTTACAGGTCAGTGCCAGGATGGCCACTCTTTGGTTGTCCATGTTGACGGCTTGCTGCCCCGCCCCCCCGCACTTGCTCCCCTCCCTGCTGATCCCTCCTCTGATGACCGTGAGACCTTCTCTACTGCTGCGCTTGCCCGTGCGGTCTGGGACTCCCGCGATGCAGTCGCTCAGGTTGCCATTAGCCACGCCCTCCCTGTGTCTGAGCGCTCGCGTTTTGCTACTATTGAGACGGCCAAAGCTTACTTAGACGCTGTCATTGCCCGCTATTCCACACCCGCGTCGGCTTCTGCTGGTCGCCTGCTCCTCCCTATGCTTTTCCCAGACCTTGCAGCCTTCCCTATCGTCGCAGATTTCGCCACTCACCTGCGTGCCCTAGAGATCCGCTATCGCACTGCCAGCACTGCTGCCCAGCTCACTGCGCTTCCCCCCCCTTTCTGAATGACGCTCTATTTTATCGCCATGCGCCTGCCAGACCGCCTCGCTAGTGCTCGCGATCACTTCCTTAGCCTGCACCCGGCTGACCTCACTCTCACTGCCTTTATCGACACCCTCACCGAGATCGAGACTCGCCAGCGCACTATCGCTCAGTCGAGCGGTGCGCCGGCAGTCTCTATCTTTCACGGCTGTGCCCCCTCCCAGTGCACGTTCACTAACGTTTCGGCTGCGGTCGCCACGGCAACCCCCCTCATTGAGTCGGCTGCTGCAGTCCACCTGCAGCAGCGCTCGCGCCGCGGTGGCCATGGTCGCCAGGGTGGTAGGGGTGGTGGCGCAGGTAGTGGTGTTGGTGGTCGTGAGAGTAGTCCGTCTGGGGGGACTCGCATTGGTGGTCAGGAGCAGCAGCCCCAGCCGCAGCAGGAGCAGCCCGCGCCATAGCCGCCGTCCCAGCAGCAGCCACCTTCCCAGCTGCAGCCCCCGCAGCAGTGGGCTCGCCTCCCGCCTGGTTGGCCTGGCACCTCAAGAGGTGGTGGCAGTGGTGGCGGCCCGCGCAGCTTGGCGTCTACCAGCGGCTCCGGTGCTGTAACTTGTCAGTACCAGCTTCAGACCGGGCCCCTTCGCGCCACTCTGTGCCGCCGCCCGCACGCGACTGCTCGCTGTTTCCGCCGCCTCGATGATCTGTTTCGTCGTCGCTTTGGCCCGGCCCCGGACCTCCCTGACTGGCACAGCCTGCTCCGCCAGGGTGTGCCGATCTTTGAGTTAGACATGGATCAGATAGGTGCTGCTTTGCATGCCTTGTATTCTGACGCTGCTAGTATTGCTGGATCTTATTACCCTGTGTTCTCTAGTTTAGGTGTTGCACCGTTGTGTAGCCTAGCCTCCCCTGCTGCGTCAGGCGTAGGACAGCCTAGTTTGTCTAGCCTCGTCTCTGCACCGGCTCCGTTCCCTGCCCCCGCCACTGTGGCGCTGTCCTTCACTCTCGACTCCGGTGCTTCTGCCTGCTTCTTTCGCGACCGTTCCGCGCTCACGCCGCTTGTTACGCCAGCTGTTGTCTCTCTCGCTGACCCCTCTGCGGGTCCTGTCGTCGCTCGCAGTTCTACGTCCCTTCCCTGTCCAGCAGTTCCCTCGGGCTCCCTTACAGGCCTCCACGTTCCCTGATTCTCGAGAAACCTTGTTGGTGTCGGCTGTCTCCAGGACCTCGGCGTCACCACTACGTTCCCCGGGCACGAGCGGTTCGCTGTCTATTCTGAGGCTGTCTCAGGTTCCCCCAGGACCCGGTGTCCGGTCTGTTTACCCTAGATGTCACAGGATCGAATGTGTCGAGGAAAGTTGCACTATCGATCAGTACAAGGCGCTTTTATACTTCCAGGGTACATCAGGTAACCAGGTTTATCTTATCCTAAGGGAATAGACCCTTCTAGAAGATAGAATCACCCTGCGTATAGCCACGCGAGGCTATTGGCTTTAAGGGATTACGGCAGGATTACGCTAGATAGAGCACACCAATACATCCCAAGCCTGGTCTGTGATATAATGATAATAGCAGGATAAACCAAAGGTTAATGGAAAAGGAAGAATAGGAAACCAAATGAGATGCGGTAAAACGAGAAATGAAAAGGGAAGGAAATAAGAAAAGGCCAAGTGGTGTAACGGGGTCGTACTCTCACACTTCCCCCCCTCAAAGCTGGGTGGTAGAAGTAACACCCTGCTTGACAAGGTAGTCATGCAGAGGACGACGGGCGTTACCCATGTCGGACTCAGATATCCAGCTGTCCTCAGAAGGATCATAACCCTTCCAACAGATGAGAAGCTCCACGGTGCCATTCCGACGATGGCGGTGTGCGAGCACGGACTCGACCTCGTACTCGGGTTCATTCTGGACGAGGACGGGCGGTGGCGGCGGTGGTTGGCGTCCCACGAAGATCGTGTTAGGATTCCGATAGGGCTTCAAAAGTTGGACATGGAAGGCGTTGTGAATCTTCCAGGTAGCTGGCAGGCGTAAGCGGAAGGTAACAGGAGTGACCTGTGCTTCAACGAGAAAAGGCCCGCAGAAGCGAGGTCGAAGTTTAGATGGGAGATGGCTGATGTCCAGGTTGCGGGTGTCAAGGAGAACCTGGTCTCCCACGGAAATGGTGTGGTCGTTGCGATGGCGATCGGCTTGGCGCTTCTGTTACTGTTGAATGTCGAGTAGGCGCTTGTGGGTCCCATCCCAAAGCTGGTGCATGGTTGTAATGAAATCATGTGCGGGTTCGACTGTAGCTGATGCTGTCGGTTTGTGTGGTGTGAGTGGGTGGCGTCCGTAGCAGAGGAAGAACGGCGTCTGTCCAGTAGCGGCATGTGTAGCATTGTTGTAAGCAAACTCGAGTACGGGCAGGTGCAAGTCCCATTTGGAGATGTCGTCCTTGCAGGCTGCTCGGAGGAGTTGCTCAACAATTTGGTTGAGGCGCTCGGTCTGTCCGTCTGTCTGCGGATGGTATGCGGATGACATGGCGAGTTTGGTGCCGAGCAGAGACATAAGTTCCTTCCAGAACTTGCTAGTGAACTTGGGGTCTCGGTCGGAGATGAGTGTAGTTGGGATGCCATGCTGTGAGATGATGTGACGAACGAAGAGCTGTGCTGTCTCCTCGGTGCGTGCCGTCGTGTGTGTCGGGATGAAGTGTCCCATTTTGGAGAACTTGTCAATGACGACAAGGATGGCGTCATGACCGCTGGAGGTAGGTGGTAACCCGGTGATGAAGTCCAGGCTAACCACTTGCCATGGTTGTTCTGGGACAGGAAGAGGCTGCAGTAGTCCCGCCTTTTTCTGCTTGCTGCTCTTCATCCGCTGACATGTATCACACGAGGTGACGAATTTCTGGACGTCGTCTGCCATATGGGGCCAGTAGTAGTGTTTGGCGATACCGGTGAGCGTCTTGTTGCTACCGAAGTGTCCGGCGTACAGGACGTCGTGGTATTCTTCGAGTAGTAACTGGCGCAAAGGAGGGTAATTGGGTACCCAGATTTTGGTTGATCCTTTCCGGTACGCGATGTCACTGTCCCACTGTAGCAGATG